AAAAAAAAATGTGTTAACTATCGGATGTGTTAATATAGGCAGCTGGACAGAGGAGAAAAAAGTAGTAACAAAAGTTAAGGAAGCGTGATGTCAATCTAAAATTTACACATTACACACCAGAAACTCTTTCCAGGAAAAACATTGTGAATACTGTCCCTTATGCCTAAAAACTGCAAAATCTATTTGAAAACACTAGTGCTATTGGCCATATGAAGCATATGAACCAAACCTCGTTCGTTCACYGGCTCATGGAGGCACTGGAGTTTTAAAGTTGATATATCTGCACACCTTTCTCTTTAGGAGCAGAGGCTTCTTGTGATTCTAGCTAGCAATAGCTCACCCAGATTAAAGAAAAAAAGAGATTTTATTGCCAGGGCAGCACTGGTATGGTGGTGAGGTACAGTTAAAGTCACAAAGAGCTRCATTTCCATGCGGGACAGAAAGCCTCAGCTGTGGAGCCGCGTGTTGGCTCTAGCAGGGGATTCCTTGCTCCCTGCCCTGGCGCCTGCCGCCCTCCACGGCCGCTCYCCGCTCCGTGCCCGCAGCACCCGGGTGCCGTCTCCTTCACTTTCCTGCCACCGAGGAAGGCAAACRGCCTGGCATGTCCCTTCGAGTGCGGTGAGGGCAGCTAAGACGTGATAGAGTAAACAGCATTTCCAGTGCGCCGCTATTGATAGGACATTATAAAGCATTTTTATATGAAAATGAACCTTCTCTAGGAGGAAGCTTGTGGGATCAACRAAAGCAATTCTGCTTGGTGGCAATGTACACTCGTTATAGAGGTTTATTTACAGCTTGTGTTTTCTTTTCCTTCCCGGTATGCGGCGGCGGGGAGCCCTGCGGCACAGTGACATCCAGCGGTCACCGCGCCGGTTCCTTTTGCTTTTCACACAGAGGCCTCACGCCTCACGTCAAGGGATCGTTCAGCAACAAACTGGAAAATGAAATGAAATGAAATGAAATGAAATGAAGCAAAATAAAATAAAATAAAATAAAATAAAATAAAATAAAATAAAATAAAATAAAATAAAATAAAATAAAATAAAATAAAATAAAATAAAATAAAGGCATACGACAAAGTAGAAAGCTGTGTTTCTGACACGGGTAAGCAGTTACACGTTACAGATGTTTAAAGTGAGGAATTACACAGAACGGGGCCTTCCAGGCCGCAACTGTGAAAGATATTGGAAGCCTCAGCGAGACGAATGGCAAATCCCTCCAACCAGAAGGTCGTTTAGTTCTCRGTTTAAGCGCAACGTGCAGGCCTAGACTCCAAGCGAACTCCTGCGGGAAGCACCTCCGAGGAYGGGCAAGTGGAAAGGCCTGCAAGGCCCAGAGGCGAGCGAGCTCCCAGGGCCTGCCGCAATGGCCGGGAGGCTCCGCGGCGGAGAAGCAACGGCCCTCGCGCAGCCGTTGGGGCAGGCGGGGCTCCCCGCGGCACCCACACGGCTGCCGCCCGAGGAAGGAGGCCCGGGAGGCGGCCCCGGTGTCCGGAGGTGCTTTAGCTCAGCGGGAACTGGGGTGCTCTTCCCAAGCGATGGCTCTGCGGGTCAGCGAGCGAGGCCTTTGACTAGAGACAATGGCAGAACAAGAGGCCGTGGGTCATTTTGACCTYTTTTTTTTCTTGTTAATCTCCTCCTCATGACATACAGCTCCTTGGAAACCTTGTGGAAGCTCATCCTAACCTGAAGCTGGGGCAGATAGCAAAGCAAGGGCAATTTGTATTCCAGTACATTCCTGCATTTGTCCCTTCGGAAAAACAGAAACATTACCAACTGTGCACAAGTCTGKGAGGGGAGGACCCTAGAGATGGGTTTCCTGAACCACTAAAATAACTGCCTGAGCCTGAAGATGTCCACACAATTGCGGCTTCTCCAGCACCAACTAGAACATATATGGATATATGGGCCAGRGGCATTGACCTCAAGGGCTGCAGCAAGAGCAAAACAGGCTAAGGCGCCCCCAAGTCTCCATCCATTTAAGCACAAAACATTGCCCCCTGGATTACTGATCTTTCCRGGTACGTGGCCTACAGGATGTTGGGATGTGGTGGTGCCGAATTCTTTGAGTGGARCAGGGTCTGCACACCCCAAATGAAGAGCTCCACAGTTCCCAAAGGGAGCAGTGACACTGCTGCCTCTTCCAGGAGCTTTCAATTCCCTCCTCCACCTGCTGCAGGACAGTGTTGGATAGTATGAGCAGAGGGACTGGAAATGATCCTCAACCTRAGCAAAAGAAAAAAAAAATCTAAACATCAGGATAATATTTGCAATCATTATTTAGAATTTAGAAATCAAAGGATCATTTGCAAGGCACAAAACCAGACAACCCACAGAAATAGGAAATATCAGTAGCTTTTATATCAGTAGCTTCAATATCAAGCTGGACATAAAGTAAAAGAGCCTGACCAGTACTGCTACAACTACCTGTATTAGCTATCACTTCAGATATCTCTACAATTTTTTAAAAGAGATTTTACATGTGACTTTGTTTGGCAATAAATTCTTTATAGTTTTCACTATAAGAAACCCCTGTTTTGGTAAATCCGACAAAGTCCAGCTCCATCCTTCTCTCAATGGCTTAAAAGAAAGATGTTATTAGTTTCCTATAATTCTTTATTTTTTGCTCAAATTTGATACTGTGTTTCTAACACAGCTAATTGTTAATACTTGTCCTTGTGAAATTTTTTTACAATTTTTACCCTAAACGTTTTTATTTCCCTTTTTCTAAAGTATCAACCCAAATTCTTAGAAACTGTCAGAAAAATAATAAAGCTGCACATATTTAAAATAACCAGGTGTATAGAAGAACGGAAGATAGTGAACTGCAACTTTTCTCTCCTGCATACTTTACAACTTCAAATTGGAAATGGATGGAAATGTACGAGGGAGGTGTATGCTTCATCACAACAGAAAATGCCATTTAAAACTTATTCATGCCATCAGTAAAAAGATCAACTATTTATCTTTCAACAGCCACCCTAATGTTTGAAAAATAAGTACATGATGGTAGAAAAAAAAAAGAATTGAACAATTTCAGAACACTATGGCTACACACTCCACTTTTGACTGTGACTTTTGGAGTCACACACAGCCCACGTACCATAAAAAGTTAAATGGAGTTTTCAAACATTTTGGTCACGTTGTTTTCAAGCTGCAAGATTCAGTTTAATTACATAGGAAACATTAAACAATAAAACATATGACCTCCTAAAAGTGTAAAATACATTGGTTTTGTATTATATTTTATTGACTAAGGRAATTAGATTCGGACAAAAGAAAATCAGTATTTCACATGTACACAGTCAGCTTTTGCTGCCTCAAAAATAATTCAKGTCTGCTTTTTCTTTAAAGGAGACTGAACAATTAAGAGTTGTTTTCCACTGCTTAATACTTGTAAAAAGTCTTCAAAGGTGTCTCTCCATTTTGCTTCCCTATTTCTTGCAGTTATGCTTTGATTTCTATTTCASTCATAATAGTGATAGTGCATCTGCTGCGTTCAGAGCATGTGAACATCAGCTTTCACTCCACATGTACTGGAGGGCATGAATAATTTTGCACATTGCTAAATGTACAAGCCAAGCTGCCAGAAAGAAAGTTTTTGTTTTTRTTTTTTTTTGGTCTTAAACCACAAGAAATCATTATGAACGCATTCAAGTCTTTAGGAAAAAATCTAATCTTTTGCCAGACAGGCTCCAGGAAGACATAATGTTTAAAAATACTAATTTAGTGACTTTGATGGAGATGCTTCTGTTACTGTGGACCTTTTCAATGCCCAGGATCCTCCTATTTCCTCAAACTGTGGCATTTCTTGAAAAACAATGCCGTCTTCAAAAAGTAGAGCTGCCCTTAAAGTCACTTTCTGACTGTCTTCTCATCTGCAAAGCTCCATTCCTGAAGCCTTTGTCTTCCACTGCTAGCTTCTTACTTCTCAGCTCTCTGTCAAATATGCGCATGGTACTTCCATCAGGAATTGARGATTTAACATTTGCAAGAAGAAATGCATTCTCACATATGGCTGCTGTGCCTTCAAATTGTAAAGAGTTTACTAGAAGTTTAGCTTTTGTTTGAGTCGCAGCACATTTGATCTTCCGGAGATGAAGAAAGAGGCATTTCTTCAGTTCTAGGGCGTTTAGATGCGGGGGGAAGAATGTCATCAGATGGCAAAGGCCTCTCTGAAACAGGCAGATATGAAAACTATTTAAGTTAAATCAAGACAGATTAAAAAAAAAAGGAAATGTTTGCAAAAATTCACAAAGAATTCACAAAAAATGGTTTGAGAAAGTTTGTCATCTGGCACAACAGCATGCTGCAAAAAACTACTGCCTTTAAAAGCTGCTTGCATGACCTAGAAGACATTGCCTCCAAGCTAATTTATATTTTTAATGTTTCAGCTGACAGCTAACACATCCATTCATGTAAAACTGTACTGACATGTCGTCACACAGGGAGCTGCAGGCAAGCAGCACAGTGAGAACAGCATCACACAGCACATTGCTCAGGGGACCATCCATACACAGCCAGAGGAGGGGAAGCTTTGCATCCAGGGTTTGTGCTTGATTCAGGAACTTTGTATTTATCAGATTACATTAAAATTTGATTATATCAGATTATACYAGAAGGCTAAAAATAAATGAATAAAGATTGTTTAAAATCTTTGCTGCCTCTAATGACCACACAGGATTACCATGTTCCTGTTCCAAGGACGGAGGTATTGAAACGATATCTGTGTGTTTCGAGGCTGGAGTATCTGTCTTCACTGGAATCAAGTTTATTCTCCTAAAAACAAACACACAAACAAAAAAAGAACAGAAACAGTTCAAGTGTTTTAAAGACACTACATTCAAAATATTTTATTTCTTTAGTTTACAATCATTTAAACTTAAATGTAGTTTTACTATGCATTTATTTCCTCTTGCTACAATTTGGATAGGGTATTTTTGAAGTGCTTTAAATATACTACTCCTCTTTCTCACTAGCAAGTCTTTTTACATACATGGTACGCAAAACACCACTCCTGATACTCACTTTCTGAGCATATAACATGGGTCAAACTTTCTGAAAGTTAAGACTGGCTGCAGGGACAAGGCTTTCACCCTGCTTCCTGGCACCTAGGAGGGCTTCCAGCGCCACGGGAAGAGCCTGCTGCTCCCCTCTGCTGGCCCTGCACTCCTGTTTGGAGTTTGCAAGGGTGGCAGAGAGTCACCTTAGCTCGTGTTAAAAGTTTGTTCTCTTCTGCCTTCATGGGATTCTCTGTCTGTCTCTCTGTGCCTGTCTCACAAGGGGGTGGCTGCTCTCCCTGCTGCATGCTCTCAGAAAAAAAACAACAAAAAATGAGTTAGTTSCATCAGTCTCCTCCTTTCCTCAACTGACCATCACCTTCAACTAGCTCCACCTTTGGACCTGCTAGATTGGGGACAGATGAAACAGGTATGCAGAAAAAAAAATATAACTATCTTCTCCCAAGAATTTTTTCTCATAGTTGCTGATAAGATCCAGTACCCTCCTCCTTGTTCACCACTTCTTCCCTAGCCACCTACTAACTAATATATTCCTGCAAGAAAGTCAAATAAACTCCTTCCATTACAGAACAACCTGTTTTGTTGAAAAGGTTACATATGGGTCTGCAATTGCATGGCTGTCTCCTCACTATTGCACACTAGCTCAGGATCTTATATTGCAGGTTGTGTGACTGCCAATATATAGATTACACACTGCCAATGCGTGGATGACTGCCAACATATAGAAGGTCTAGATGTTTCTAAAAACATCTAGATCTTCACCTTAGGCAATCCCCTAACCCCTTTTTATTAAGCAGCAGTGCAGCCCTGAACACTTCACTTCAGAATGGACACAGCTGAAGTTGTCTACAGGCACCACCTTGTTCAGAAAAGGTAGCCTCAAGGTAGATGCCTGTTGCTACCCTGAGCACAAGGCATAAAGGTCAAGATACCTGTGTTTCTGCCTCCCATTTTAGACAGGACTACAGGAGTTGCACTTTCAGGAAACATTTTGACCTTCCAGCTGTAGTACAACTAGAGTACAAAGTTCCATCTCAAGACAGCTACCACCAAGACACAAGGCAGCGAAGTTATGTTCAAGCCTCAAGCCTTTAAACGTAGCACAAGTACAGCTTGTCTTGGCCTTCATATTTATGACTGCAAACGGCAATATAAATCTCACCTTGGCGTCTTGCTCCACGCTTGTAAAGTGTTGAGAGTAATCCTCCTGGGCTGGTTTCCTTTAGTACTCTGGCTGCCTGGCTGGCTGCTTTTCCTCTCGTCTGAGGATGAAGCTGGAACGTTTTTTATGCCAACAGGTGTGGAAGGCAAGTCCTTACTGGCAGCTGTGGGTGTTCTAGTTTGGAGAGTGGGAGTGCTGGCATCAGTGGTCCTGCCAGGAGCAGTCCCCTCTGTCAGCCTGGAGCCTGGGGAAATGGCTTTGTGTGACTGGCTCTTCTTTACTTTCTTCTCTGTTGTGCTGGAGGTCCTGACACTCAGCTGCGGCTTCTCCTTCAGTGGTATTCCCAGTTCATCCTTCTCGAAGGTAACAAATGAACAGTATCCATCCGTGGAAGAAATAGCAAGGAAGGCTCCATCGCTGGACCTGTGGAGATTTTGTTTTCCATTCAGAGGAAAGGTGAGAATTGCTCTCTTCCACCCTCCCAGCTATTTCTAAACACAAGCTCTGCTTGTCTTTTCCTCCTCCCTTCCCAACTGAGCCTAAATAAGACTCAGGCAGCTGAAAGACATCCAATTCAAATGAAAAGACACTCAGGTCTGATCTCTGCGCCTGATTTACTCTCTGGCCTTGACTGAGATCAGCCATAACCTGCTGCTGCCAACACCTGCACACATGTGAGCTAGCACAAAGCAGGGTTCAATTGCAGGCACATAAATCTTTAATTGGTTTCTGAAATAGTGCTGAACTCTGCTCATTCAGACCCAGCAGGGCAGTTCAAGCTCTTTGGCTGTGCTCCTTGCGCTGAGCAGAGGCAGTCACTGTGGTGCTTACGTGATGGGCCCCTTGCTGCTCACTTCACCAAGGAACAGTCATCACTGATTGAGAACAGATGACTTTCTATCTTCTTCTGCTCCCCTCCTCCTGATACACAACAGCCTTCAACATATTTGTGCATCAGTTACAACCTCTGAGACAGAGGCCTCCACACAGTGCTCAGCTCAGGTAACTGGATCTTAATCAGCTAGGAAGGCTTGAGGGAGCCAGCGCAGTCCAGGGGAGGAATCGTACCCTGACTGCAGGACTCGGGGCTGATCTTGAGCTCCATGTCAGACTGCCCTCTTCAGACCACACTGACCACTTAGTCTCAGGTACAAGGACCAAGCACAGTTGTGCAGATAAAGCAGGAACTGGCCATGATACAGGTGCCTGAACTTAAATGGGTGACCTTCAAAACTTCCAGGTAACTTTATTACAGTAGSACAACCTGGACATAAGTACTTCTCATGGGCACCAAGTACTGTACTGGTTTTCATACAAATAACCCAGTTATTTGGGTATAAGGGCTGCTTGCCCTTAGGGCCCTTGGACCTTCATTCCCCAGCTGACAAAACTCCTGCAATTTTCCCACAACGGCAACAAGAAGGGGCCTGCTGTTTAGACACTGTGATGATAGTGACCGAATGTGTGTCATTAATGAAACCRAAAAAGAAAGCAAGACATAAGAGCAGAGCTTCAACATGTAAAGAGGACGTTCCCCTCCTCAGCAGCAAATCCTTCATGAATCTTAAGGATCTAGCAGCTACCTACCATGAAATGTCACTCAGGGTGTGGTAATGTATGTTTGAAACATAACCAAACGGAAACGGCTGCTGGGTATCATAAAAAAGCACAGAATCTTCTGAAGCAACAGCAAACACCAATCGATAGGGTAGGTTAAATAGAGCAGGGGCTGATTTCTGACTGATTTCATCTAGAAAGAAACAAAACAGGCTGATGATTCCCTCTTGATATACTTTAAATCAAAGTCATCATAAATTTACACTGCTACATTATATTATGCATGATCTATTCAAAACAGTAGTTTTTAACTCATTTTTGTGGTATCTGAGCTACTAGTTAATCTTTTTTTTCCAAGTTCTATCAGAAGCTAACTGCTAGCCAGCTGCTTTCAGCCATTACTACTATACAGAGTCGATTCACTTCCACAATGATTACAGACGATACACACATAGTGCTAGTATAAGGTACCRCAAATTTCTAGACTATCAAAGATTTTCACTTTTCTGGTGATGTGATACAGAATCCAAACACCCCATTCAGAGGAGCTAGAGACCTGTAACAGACCCTCATCTCCTTATCTTGCAACACAACATGGCAAGAGACCTACAATTTATGATATAAATATAGAACATCAATAGAATTGAATTTCTATACCCTTTAAGGAATACCACCAATTGTCCTCTAAAGAAGAGCCTTCACTTCACTCATCTGGGAATGAGCAAAGTTCTGTCTTTGCATCAGAGTTAAGATCAGTCTTGTTCAAAAAACACATATACAAACTCTTGTCCCCACTGGGCTCACAATAAGGCTGGATTTCAGTCTCCAGGAAAGCTCTCACACATCTTCAAACAATCCTTCCCTCCCCAGAACTCCTGCTCCGGCCAGTAACACCAGTCTGGCCTCCTTGAATAAACACCAATGGTTGTTGTAAACTACACCAGCTCTGTGGTGCTTCTGTAATGTGAGTAGCTGAATCGAGAAGAAAAAATTTACTAGGTTGTTCCCTTAATGCAAAGCTAAGTTATTTTATTTTATTCACACAGAATATTTTGTTGTCTGTAGCCTAGAAAGCCAAACAAGAACATTTATCTTCTATACCAAAAATTACTCATAAGACTGTTAAGCTGAATTCAGGGCCTTAAAATTGGGAAAGTTTCCAAGACGTGGTGCAACACTTGGCTAGGGTGTAAAATAGTATGACCTGCAACTAAACAGACAGATTGTCCTTTTCACATATTTGCTGTAAAAGTAGATCCCTTGGAGGATTTACAGTACCTTTATTAAGGGCACGTCTCAACTCAAAGTACACAGGGCAGCACCGAACAGCAAGAGTTGCCTTTCCTGGGCAGGGCAGGTGACCCATGGGCCTTTTATGAAAGAAATAGTATTTCAGAGAACATTTGATTTTTTAAATACATATATATATATATAAAACAAACAAAATTTACATATCTATATTATATATATATAATTTTATATATATATTTATAAAATATATTTTATATAAAAATTTTATATAGATATATATGAATGTTATATATATACAAACATATATTATTTTTTAATAAGAAGGTATTTTGATCTTATTTAACTTTACCTTTTGAGATTGTTTCTGGAGAAAACATATGTGGTGTTTGTCACATTTTCTCCTGATTCAACACAGCCAGCTGAGAAAATAAAGGTTACAACATTACTCATCAATTCAAAAAAGTACCAAGGATACATTTCAYGTTCATAAGTATTTTATTTCTTGGGAATTAAGTCTTGCATTACTTGGGCAACAGTTGTGTGATCTAAACACAAAAAGGCATCCCAAATATTTATTTAGTGCTGTTTGTGTTTCCCCTTACAGATTTCCCCCTCAAAACTTTTTTTTTTGATGTTGTCAGACACCTATAAAAGCAGTGCTTATATGAGCAAACTGATCCCCTCCTTGCAATGTTATTTTTACTAGGACTGCAGAACTTTTTCAGAGCAAGGATACAAATGAAGAGAGACAAGTCAAAAGAAACCACTCATTATTCTCCAATTCTAACAGAGCTACATTATTGCRTTTTATATATGTTTCTGTTGAGAAAAATGCCATAGGCAATTTTTATCACAGAAGAAAGCTGAGGTTCTGGACTGTTAATGAAAGGGGATTGTGGAGTCCTTCTTTTTCTCAGAAAGAACATGGTAACTGACAGACTGAATGGCATGATGCATATGAACAGGAGCCCTTTAGCAGATCTGAAAGCAAATCACAGAATCATTATGGTTGGAAAAGACCTTCAAGATCATCAAGTCCAATTGTAAGCCCTTCAACACRGTGCCTGCTAAATCATGTCCCTAAGCACCTCACCTCCACCTTTCAAATCAGGATGCACTYAAAGGAGGCTGCAAGAGACTAAAGGCAAGTTAGAGCACATGTCCTTTTCACCTACCTGGGGCGAGCAAGGAGGAGCCATCAGGAGTAAAACTCAGTCTGCGGAAAAATGACTTCATGCTGTCGTCATGAAACATCCGATAGCTCCTGGCCTGTAACGGTGAAAATGTGAGAGAGAGAAGTGCCAGGAACAGGTGGAATTCAAGTGAGAAAAATCATCTGGTTGCACAATCCTGCCTGACAGAACTTTTAAAGTAAAAGATAAGTATGTTAAAAGCCATGACCCCTTCAAACTCACTTTTTCTCGGAGCTATAAATTTTGTACAGCTARGGAAAATAGACCCAGCTAAGGAAAACAGCCCTTGATCCCTCTTCAGTGACTAATCAAAATACTTCAAGGGCAGTCACATTAAGGCAGTAATGAAAAAGTTGTAATAACCTAAAGAACATTATTCAACAGTCAGTTTAAAAGCTTGTTCCTCGAGTATTTTTAATTTTTTTAATTATTTTTTTTTTAATTTTTATTTTCCTAAAAGTTAAACTACCTTTTTGAAGATTTCATCCTGCTCATTAAAACATTAATGCAATAGTAAGTGCTGTATCAAATTCAGAGACAATCTCACAGCTACTACCTGACAGATACGTTTAAAGGCTTTTCATTAAAAAAAAAACCCTAATTTGCACACTTAATTTTTTTTAAAAAAAAAAACAATATAATCAAAGTCAGATTTTTTTTCCCCAGATGAACTTGTAAGAAATCAACAGCAGTTGGCTGTTCTTTGTTGAACGCTAGACAAAACCTGAAGTGAAGGTCTCTTTACAAAAGCGCAGAGATGAGACAGAGACAAACATAAAACTACTCGACACAGAGTACTTGAACTGAAAATATTTGCCCCGCAATTTCACAGAGTAGAGCAGTTCTCATAGAAGAGCACCCAGCACATTACCCAGTAGCACGAGGAGCAGAACAACGTACCTCTCCTTCAACTCCTGCCCCAGAAGGCATCTTGGTGACGTTGAACGCTACGCGTTTGGTTTGCGAGTTGTACACACGCAGGACCCTACGTGATGGAGAGCACAGTTTGAGCTATAAATACATTGCTTGCTTTCACCCCAAGGCTCACACAGAGCTGCACCATCTCTCTTGGCAGTTGTGACTGCCACATATAAAYGACAATCACATGCTTACTTTCTCTGTTCAGCCAAGACCACCAGGGAGGACATGCCCTTATGCCTGATAATCTACAGATCACTGCTAACGATTTGCCTCAGAAAGGTTTGTGAAGGACCAGTGTACACATTCCTGAAGGATTCACTTCACATTTCACCTTTTCCAACCTTAGGCATTCTACGATTCTATTCTGGGCTCCCCAGTACAAGAGGGATGTGGAGCTGCTGGAGAGAGTCCAGCGCAGGGCTRCGAGGATGATCAGGGGCCTGGAACATCTGCCCTGTGAGCAAAGGCTGAGGGAGCTGGGCCTGTTCAGCCTGGAGAAGAGGAGGCTGAGGGGGGACCTGATCAGCGTGTATAAATACCTCAAGGGAGGCAGTGAGGAGGAGGGGGCGGCCTCTTTTCAAGGTGGTGGCAGCGATAGGACTAGAGGAAACGGCCACAAGCTGAGGCACCAAAAGTTCCACAGGAACTTGAGAAAACACTTTTTGACAGTGAGGGTGCCAGAGCCCTGGCACAGGCTGCCCAGRGAGGTTGTGGAGTCTCCTTCTCTAGAGATATTCAAAACCCGCTTGGACACAGCCCTGTGCCACGTGCTCTRGGTGACCCTGCGTGTGCAGGGGGGTTGGACTGGATGACCTCTGAGGTCCCTTCCAACCTTAAGCATTCCATGATTCTATGAACAAAGGAATTWAAGGGCAGTGAATAGCCAGGGCATTCCTAAGTGGGAGCCAGATCCGGTGGTTAGATCTGTTCCTACAGGGTGTGAACATGCCCCAGAGACAATTAACTGCACTTCTAAGCTTCATGGAGGCAGTTTCCTTTGTAATAAGTAAAAGCTGGAATATAATTCAGTAGACAAGGCTTGAACTCTCCTGACTTCACCAGCAAGCAGCCTAGGCCAGTCTAACCAGTTGTACCACTATCCCCTCCTTTCCACCAGCTCTTAAACTCATCAAATCCTTTACCAAATATGCTGGTTTGCTAGGTTGGGAGAGAACTAACYTAACACAAAAAAACAGGGCTTTCTGCTGATTTAATATGCTGAAACAGCTCCACACGGAGTCCTGGACAGAGCTAGGAGGAGGAAAGTAGAAACTGAAGCTGTGGCAAACTGCTGGCAGTTGGAGGCTTTCAGGGGAATGCAGGCACTCTAGATGAAGCCACATCCGAGTTGACCTGCCAAATGCCCCCATGCTGTTGAGTGTCCACTCCTGACACTGGTCCTAACTCTTGCAGGATGCCTGTTGAGCCTCTGCTACCCGCTAATCTTGCAGAAAAGAGCCTGCAAGATGTGGGGGGGTGAGAAGCCTCCCCCTCCTCATATTCAGCTGTACCCTAGCTCGTAACTTCACTCCAAGAAAAACCTGTACATCTCTCCATCATTTGTGTTTCATTACTGCTTACTTTAATAAAAGCACACAAATTACACATAACCTATTAACTGAAAATAGAGGTTCATAATGACCCAGCCACCATTTACTTACCCTTCTTCTGAGCCTACTGCAATCTTAAATCAAAATTATTTTTCCACTATTGGAGTAATTTTCTCTGCAAAGGGTGCCAGATGACAGGCATTTCTTAGTCAGCTGTGAACCCCTTCAGAGCAGCATACATGCCCTAAACAGTTTAAGCTCAACTGCAAAGTTCTGACAAGGGCCAAGTTTATGAAGTGTGTGTGTTTGCTTTCCCAATGACTTCACTTATAAACTTGCTGGGGATGGAAGGACCAAGAGGGCAGAAAGAAGAAATCAATGGGAGGGAAAAAAGAAAAAAAAAAAAAACCCCAAACCAAAACAACAACAAAAAAAACCCATCACACACATCTTCACTATTTTTAAGCTGTTTTCTTTCTTTCTGCAAAATATATCAAAAAGGATGAATTTATCAGCTCACTAGTAATCAGTTGATACAGCAYTCTGTTAAGATAAGTTTTACATCTCTCATGACCAATGCCATGCAAACTCTTTTCCTGGAAAAAAATTATGCAAAAAGTTGCATAAACTTATTTCTTGCTTAGAGAGACATTCAATCATTTACCGTAAGATTAACTAGATTAATATTTCACTTTTTACACCAGCTCTTTTACAGAACAATTTGAATACAATTAAAAGAAAAACCCCATTAACTCCATGCACTTTTCCTTAACTCAGCCTCAAGAAAGAGCACAAAGACAAAACACAGACCAGCAGCTCACCTATCACAACTCAGGGTTGCRATGTACTGGCCCAGAGGATCCCAGGTTATTCCTTGGACATAACTCTTGTGTTCATTTAATATTGAAACCTTTTGTCCTGAAATTACAAACAGTTTTCAGATATTAAATTCAATGTGTTCTAWAACAATTTTTGTTTTCAGAAATAAAAAAGAGGTAAAGTACTTCAGAAGCACATAAAGCATTGTTTGAAACATACAACTTGATAATGTGGTGGCACCTGACAGCAGTGATTGAAATARTTGTTTTATTTCTAGAATCACCACAAACATGGTAAATTTGAAAATGGCTTGTTCCCTAGAACTTAGATAAACAACCTGAGGTGTTAAAATGATGATGATGTAAGTGTTAAAAAAAATAAATGAGTATATTTCAAAACCAAGGTCTACAGGTATAGAGTACTGCTCAAACACTAACTGGATTTGGCTGGATACAGAGCCAGAAGTTCCAGCATTAAAGCAGAACTTTCAGCTGGGGCTAGATAGCCGGGCTCTGTGTCTGTGCTTCTAGGAACTCAGTCACTCTTGTCGAGCAGAACACACTCCACACATCCCAGGTGATGACTTACACAAGGACAGTTTTCAGAAATAATTCCGGAGCAAACTACCTCATGCTCTTCCATTTACTGTGCTCATGCTCGTCCATTTACTGGGCTCTTCCATTTACTGACTGCTCTGCACTGGTCCATCAAAGCTTTTCTAGCTGGGCTTTCCTTGGAGGACATGAGCTATCCCACTGATCACAAGTTAGCATGAATACAAGCACTTTGCTGTATGCAGTTCCAAAACTGTCTCACCTTGCAAAATGAGGCCTGTATCCTATCTAGCTTTCCACTTAACACACAGGTAGCTACCTGGTATCAGTAAAGTGTCGGGTTTTGGGGGGTGGAAGGGGAAGCAGGAATAACATACAACTTGCTTGTGTGGCAGCTTGGGGAGGGAAAAAAAAAAAAAAGCTCAAATACTAGTTTTCTGAGTACTCTGAGTTGAAGAGATTACTTACATGCAAATTTTACCAGCTTGTGGTTATGTTTGTGTGCCTGRGTATCTGCATCACAATCCCAGAAGTCTGGCAATCAAGTGGATTGTTCAGTAGTCAAAAGGTGGCACTTATCAAAAATAGTTAAGAGATACTTGCAGCAAGACTGAACTCACAGATGATAAACTTACACTTGGTATTTACCTTTATTGACATCCCACATTATAGCAGTGTTATCTACAGAGGCYGATGCCATGTAATTTCCATCTGAGGTCCAACAAATATCGTATACATCTTCTAAGTGACCTCTAGAAGCCAGCACAAAAGAAAGTAATTATTAATTATAAAATGAACCGCTACATGTGTAAATACAAGAACTCTGTATACTTTTAGGTTAAAAAAAAATCACAGAGATAAAAATCAGGTATTATAAAAGAAAAACAAAATGGCATTTCTCAGTTTCTTTTTTTCTCTCTTTCAAGAAACAAGCAAACAAACAATCAAATCAAGAAAAAACCCMCACACAGAGAAAAACTTCTGTATTCAGAAGGGAGCAGAACAGAAAAGTACATCCTGCTTCTACCCTAACATCACTGCCTTTTAAACACTTCATTTTTCACAATGAAAACTATGCATTTGAAGTAGTTTATGAATTTACTTCTGAAGATCTTCAAGAGAACATTTTCAYGCTTGCTACAAGACAGGACATAGAAGACTGCACCACCAAATTAACAGAAAGCTTTTCAAGAAACCTTTCCTGCGTATTTATGAGCTTCATAAAAAATATCAACACACAGAGTGAGTGTCCACCAAAAAAACGCCCATCAGCTTCCAAACCCACTCATCTCTTGCAACCTTCTGCTGAGAGCAAGACCTGCAGACAACTGAATTCCAACTGCCAGCAGCAGTTGGATGCCTTAGTCACTATGAACTCCCACTGACACTTACTTAATTTTATCAGGAATGGTGTGTGCATTTTATCACCGTACAGCTTGAAACAAAAGCTGTATAACATAGTGTATTTTCAATCGCAGCAAGACTAGTTGGGGGAAAGGAAAAGGGAAGGGGCTTAGCTTCACAGCTACTGTCTGGAAAAAWTTCATAAATCATTTCATCTACTGATAGTTTTTTTACTTTAATACTTATCAGTATGCCTAACTTATTATATGCTATTCTATACTATAAAACCAGTAAGTAAAACTTCATATATATTTTACATATATCTGTGCAAAGCTTTAAATGCAAGTTTCCTAAACTCAGGAAAGAATTTCAGAGCATATCAGCTATCTTGCACAAATGCCTGAACACAGAAGTTACACACAGCTAYTACTGCATGAAAAAAGTTAAAGATAATAGAAGGATGAATACTGGAAAAAGTAAACTTTTCAGAGSAATGAATTTCTCCATACACTGAAGGGAAGCCCACACAAGGTAATAAAAGGCACTGTGAATCAAAACAAATGTCAGACTCATAAAAGTTGAAGTTACCTTAAAGTTTTAACAACTGTCCAGTTCTCCTTGTTAAGCTGAGCTTCATCTTCATCTTGAAAAACTAATGGTTCCAGTTCTTTGCTATCATTCAGCTTCCACAATAAAATTACAGCATCTGCAGAAAAAATAACATGAAGCATTTCTTTCCTGGTGCTTTGTTAATGCATTACATTTACAATTAATATTAAGATTACCTTGCATAAAACACATCAAAAGTAGTGAACAGGGAGCAATAGATCATGGACCACTTTTCCAGTGTGAGCTATTGATTTTAGGTTCATGTCTTATTTTTCATATTGAGGTCATCTAATAAAGAGTGGTACCAGAAGAGAGCCACTTAGCTTTCAACCTGCTTTTTGATTTGAGCTGGACATATTTCTCTTTGGGCTTGTGAAAAATTTCCACTGAGACAGGTAAGACCCAACTCCACCTCACGAAGCACGTCCCTACCTAAAGCTGCCCTTATCAGGACTGAAGAAACCCCTGGAGCATTCAAGAAAGAGGCCTAAGTTTACAAACTGTTAGATAGCCTTCCAGTACGACACTAGCTCAATCCTCCCATGTGGGAAATCAGGACAGTAGTTCTTTCATTTCAAGGAAAAGAGAGCCTTTCAGACACACAGTCAGTGAGAGTAAGTTATCCAGCAATTGCATGACATGCATTTACTAATGGCAACTGGAGCACATGCACAACTACAGAATGGGGTATATGTGAGGGAGGTATGAAGTCCCCATGCTTATTTTTCCCCACTGGATCCACGGGTATAGCAGCTTCTCTATAAGAGTTTCATTAGGTGTTATTCACTCACCATCTCCCCCGGAGGCCAGGATCTCCCCGCTGGGAGAGAAGCGCACAACGTTTACTGCCTTGGTGTGGCGGGCCAGATTGGACAGGAATTCCACAATTGCTTTGCCATCTGGTCCTTTTTCCACTTTCCATATCTAGTCACAAAAGTTTACAGATCGTTTTCAGAAATGGAAGATAAGCTGATATATAATATATGCCCTGATTTAGTTATTCACAAATATATTCTTGCAGCAGTCACTTTGAACTTATCCAAAACCATCCGAAATAAAGTTGCAGTGGCACCAGAAGTTTCTTCTCTACAAGCTGTAATTGTAACTACATGGCAATATTTCTTTGGTTCTCATGGAACATATTACTGAACATTTCCAATAAATAAAAATAYGCACACATAGCATTGCTCTATCTGCCTTCATTGCTTTCATTTCATTTGACTAGCACGTATAAACACAGCAATTCAGAATTACAGAATAACATGTTGTCAACAAACTGGCTAACCACAAGTAGTAACAATCTGAAATACTGTGCTCTCTATACCAGAAAAAAAAATATATATATATATTAGCTCTTTTTAGAAACCTGATCCAAGACAAAGAGTTTTRCAGCATATTTTGAAGGTCAAAGGATTTTGACAGGGTTTTAGCATGAAATATAGGATATAAAATATTAAGAATAATTCCAGTTTTCCATTGATCATAGCCATAACATTTCAACAGGTCAGAGTTGCTCTTGCACGTAACTCAGCTCCGAAAATAACAGAGGGAACTACCAAGCAGTGGAGCAGGCCTCTTGGTTAAAGGCCTCTGTATTTTTCCAGCTTTT